CTGACCAAAGACAAAAAAATACCACATATCAATGTCAATATAGAGCTAGAAAAAATATAAATAAATCTCACAAGATCCATTCTAATAAAAATCAAAATTGGTGGAATGTATTATATGCTTTAGGTGAAACTATTCAGCAACCACTAACTTTTAAGTGGAATCAAGAATATTCTCACTGCTCAACTATGCTTCTTACAGGTGAACCAGCAGAATTTTGCTGTAATCGTAGAAAGCACATCTTACCTTAATTACCCCCTTACCCTATAAATATAGATAATATTCTCAATATTCCTAATATTAGCACTCTTTCTAGAAAACTTAACACCCTCTTTTCTTTCACGGCAATTGGCGTGGAGGGTCAATTCATACATCTTTCACCACATCTTCAGTCTGTATTATTGGATGTACTTACCATCATATTCTTTCAGGAAATACTCCTAATCACTCAATACACTGGTATTTGTATGACGAACAAGAACAAAATTTTACAGCTCAAGAACATGGAATTTTTGATCGATGGGTGTTAGCTGTTCACTCTATATTAACATATGTCAATCCTTACGTTTATTCTTTACAAATACTTTGAGATAATTCACCTCAGACTGCACTACTTGAACTATGTGAAGATACTTCTACAGGTGAAGTTGCCGCGATAATACATACAAATAATGCTGTTAATGTATCACCACGAAGCATTATCATTTGGCGCTATTCGGATAGTGAATCTAAATTTATAAATATTCTTAGCTCTCAGTATAAGCTGCTTCAATATCCATTACTTTTCTCTCACGAATACCAGGATGGCATCTCAATAATTATTATAATTTATTACAAATTGATTGGTATCGAAGTCGTTTATTACATGAATAGTGATTTTTAACCTTTGGAAGATTAACATCTGAATACTTAGTAGATATGTATTCACATGTTGAAGAAGAAAGATTGAATTATATTTTGACCGAAAAAAATTGACTTAACAAAGAAAGAAGAACCCGGGGACCAAATGCTACAATAATTGAAGATGATTTTAAAAATAAAGATGATGAAAATGAAGAAAAAAATCCGCATCTGCCTGCTTCATTTTTAGGATCAAAAAGATAGTGTTCTACTCATGTTGCCAATGCTTTAGCACTTGCTCGCTGTAAAGGAAAACCGAGCTTCTTAATAACAATGACCACTAACGCAAATTGGGAAGAAATTCGATCATTGTTAAAATCTGGCCAAAATGCATCGGAGCTGGCAACAATTGTTTTAGAAAATTAAAGGAATTATTACATGAACATTTCGGAAAAATTGTCTATTTAATTAATGTAATAGAATTTCAAAAGCGTGGGCTTCCCCATGCTCACGTTATTATATGTGTACATCCTAAACTTCTGGTCGACCAAATTGATAAAATGATATTAGCTGAAATGTCTCGTAATAATATACGTTTAAAAGAATTAGTAAAAATATACATGCTACACAGACAACAGCATTCATCTCGTTGTCTTCACAATGGCATCTGCATTTATCATTACCCAAAATGAATTGTTTCAGAAACTTATATTGATGATAAAGATTATATACAATATCGACACCAGACACAAGAAGATGCGTGGGTAGTGTCTTATAATCCCCTATTAATTATGAAATTAGAATGTCATATCAACTTTGAAATTGCTTCAACTGTTCATCTATTCATGTATTTATATAAATACCTTTTTAAAGGACCTGACTATGTTAAATTCACTGTAAATAATAGAAACGTAGCCGATATTAATCAAACAAATTTGCAACATATAAATGAATTTAAAAACTATATAAAAGGAAGGTATTTATCAGTGCCCGAAGCTGCATAGAGAATCTTTTATTATCATATAACCTTAATGGACCCACCAGTACAAGCACTTCTCATTTACCTTTACAACACAAATATTCCACAATATTTCCGTTCATACAATACTTCATCAGTGTCACTTTTAGATAAATATTTCCTTCGACCACTTGAACCTATATTTAATAAACTCAAATATACGGAATACTATGAACAATATACATTGTATTCCTTCAAACAATAAGACATATGCGAAGGTGACTTCTTAGAACAAAAACAAGCAAGTGTGTTAAGGAAAATTATTCAAAAACAAACTACTAATAAAATTACTAGAATTGTTTTGGTAGCTCCAGGATCTGGTGAACTTTTTTATCTAAGGTGTATTTTAATGTACTGTGCAGTTCGAATATAGAATGAAATCAAAATATTCAATGGTTTTATATGTCTAACTTACCAAGAAACTGCACGTGAAATGAGACTATTTGTTAATGAAATTGAAGATGTATTTGCTATAAAAGAAGCTATTGAAAATTTTTCAACACCGGCACAGCTTCATTTTTTATTTATACAGCTAATTTTAGATAGTGCTCCTGCACTTAACATTTGGCAAAACTTTAATTTAAATCTCTCTGAAGATATGCAAGAGCAATTTAATGGTAATAATTCCAATGCCACAAATGCTACCCTTCAACAATAGCCTCAATGCTTGCTGAACATGAGTGACGTTTGCATGATTTTGGTTTTTCAGAACCACAAACATGGACTCAGGAAATAATAGCTGAATATCAATGCTATTCTGACTATGTTCGATATAGACAACTTACTGAAGAATTTTGCTCGAAAATAACTCCTGAACAAATAAGTTTTTATAATGAAATCATAGCTTATACACTATGGAACCCAGAAAATGGACCTATTCCAACATCAAAATTCTCAAAATTTTTAGATGGAAAAGCTGGTTGTGGTAAAACTTTTCTTATTAATACCATTTGCTACATGATCAGAGCTGCAAAAAAAATCGTTTTATCTTGTGGAACCACAGCATTAGCAGCATTATTGTATGAAGACGGTCGTACAGCCCACTCCCTATTTCAAATACCCATAGAAGAAAACAATATTAACATTCAATTAACAATTAAATACTACAGTAACTGTGCAAATTTAATCCGAAACTCAACTCTAATAATTTGGGATAAACTCTCAATGGCAAATAAAGCTATACTAGAATGCATTAACCTTCTTCTCAGACAAATCTGCAGTAAAAATGGGCTATTTGGAGGAAAGCTTTTTATAGATGCTGGAGATTTCAGGCAGGTGGCACCTGTTGTAAAAGGAGCAGGAAAAAATGCTACATTAGACGCATCAATTAAAACATCATATTTATGGGCACACTTCAACAAATATACCCTTAATTAACTCATATACAACGCAAATGACCCGGACCTTGCTAAATTTGTTGATGCTATTGGAAGTAACTGGCAAGAACCAGAAGTATTCTTAGAAATTTTCAAAAAACCGAATAATATAGAAGAAACAATTTCATTTTTATATCCAAAAAATTCACTTGCCGATTATACAACATTGTAAAAAAAAGCTTTCCTAAGCCCCAAAAATTTATTAGTTGATAATTTCAACAATCAAATTCTTAATATTTTACCTGGAATAGCACATATATATTTTAGTAGTGACATTGTTAAAGAAAATGATGAAATATTAAATGATGACCCTATCACAACACCAGATTACTTAGCTCAACTAACGCATCCAGGGATACCGAATCATGAACTTCATTTAAAATGTGGTGCTATTTGTTCTATTATAAGAAATATCTCAATCGAAAAAGGATTAGTAAAAAACACACGAGTTATGATAACTAACTTGGGTCGACGATTAATCAAAATAACACTACTTAATAATAATCAATCTAATCACATATCAGAAACTCATTTACTTTCTAGAATTAATTTCTACTTTCAACCAGATTACTGTTTGTGGACAGTATATCGAAAACAATTTCTACTATGTCTAGCTTACTCGACAACTTTTAATAGTTGTCAAGGTCTTACGTTGGATTATGTTGTTATAGACCTTCGAACTCGCGTATTCGCGCATAGTCAGTTATACACTGCCATCTCCCGTGTAAGAAATAGAGATCATTGTTTAATTTTATTGCCAGAAAATAATGCAACTGCAAAAACAACCAATATTGTATATAAAGAATTAATTCAATAAACAAAAATTATCATTAGTAAATTCATCATAATAATTACAAGTAGTACAATATTCTCTAACAACCATATCAAAAAACTCAAAAAAAAAACCTATTATAATTACCGTATTACGAATACTCCTATTAACAATATAATATAATACAAATTTACTATCACAAACTAAAATTGCTTAATACAAAAAAAAAAAATTACTAATAACTTTACTTTCTCTTCTCTTATATATATACTAAATTTAACTACAAATTAATTACATTATATATAATTTTAACTTTATTAACATATTATCTTAATTCTAACTAATCAACGCTTTTTATCTAATCAAATGAAATTTTGCAATATAACAAAATCGTGATCAAACCACATGACTAAGAAATATTATATAAATACTAAACAACTTTATAAAAATCAAATCAAATTGTAAATTAAAATATTTCTTTTTAAATTCAAATTTAATTACAATTGACATAAAACACCTGAATTATTAAAATTCACCTTAAATAATAACAAAACCATGCTGTACTTCTGCAATACTATCGTAAAAATTAACCAATCTATAAATATAAACATCAATTCAACTATCATATGGACTATCGGCACTTATCCAGTCGAACAAGAAAATAATGACATTGAAATGGTCATGTTTATACCAATAAATCCCAATGATAGAGATCCTGATAGTCAAGCAATATTCGAAAAAAATGAATACTATATCGTCAGTGGAAAAGTTATCCCTGAATACTACTGTGATGTTAAAAAAGCGAAAGTAAATATATTATAATAATAAAAAAACTTACACTTAAGGGTAGGGTGTATGTAGATCAATTTTCATATGATCTACGTGGTATATTGAATTTTTACATAGTAAACAAAAAA